GGGTTTGGTGAAAAAAAAAAAAAAAAAAAAACTTGCTCTAAAAATGATTCACTGTGATCAAAGGCTTTTGGTTACCCCTTTCTGGAGCCCCCCCAACAGGATTGTTGGGAATTTCTGCAGCAGAGGGAGGAAAAAAAACAAACACCAAAACCAAAAAAAATCAAACCAAAACAAAACAAAAAAACAGAAGAGAAAAATAGATTTCTGGCTCCTGCTTCAAGAAATAGTTGCTCAAATTGTTTCTGTCTGGGCAAGGCTTAAAAAAAGTCCCAAAGGCTCAGAAAGTCCCAGAATTCAAATCCTGATGGATTTAAATCTTCACCTACCACACCCAGTCCAACCCCAACTACCATCAAGTTCGAAAAGAAGCCTTACAAAATATAACAAACTAAAAAAATCTCAGTGGAAAGGGAGAAGCAAAATATAAGTAAACCAGTAAATAATTTAAAGTTAATTTTAATTTAAATTAAAATCCTAATCTTAATCTAAACCAATAAACACAATAGATTATTTTAATAATTATTTTAATAATTCTCCCTAACTTGGATTCATCAGGTTTTTTAAATTATTTTTATTTATCAAATCGTCTGCCTGTTAAGTAGGACCATTTCTTTCTCACTGCCTAACAAAATTAAGCACATTTTGGCCTTTTTTATGTCTACTGTCATTCAGATGTTTTCTGAATCTAAGTGGCTTTAAAGCAATTTCTTTTTTTGAATTTCTCAAGCTTAAGTAGTGTGCTTTTCTCAAATTTCAGTCTATGAACTGGACTCCTGTATAGATTCAAAGATGTTTTCCCTGCACCTCATGCTGTAGGTAATCAGCATTGTTGAAAAACAAATACAAAGCCAGAACAGATAGTCTAAAGTCATTTCCTAGAGAAGGCAGCCCCTGCTGCTTCAGTCACATCAAAGATATAGTGGCTGGTGTGCTCACAAATTGCTGACAATAAATGGGGAGCTGTTTATCAGCCAAAGCAGTGCTGCAGATATCATTGAGAAAATATAAACCAGAGAGTTGCACCCAGTACTTCAGCCTGGCAGGCAGGTATTCTTTCACAAATCATACCTTATTTTCTTGTCTCCATGAAATTTGGAGCAACACTTTACGAATTTTTCATCTGGAGAAATGCAATATGTTTAGGAAACCAAAAACACCTCTTTCCCAGCCACTGTATTACTAAATAGCTGATCTACCGATACCTGCTAAAAGACAAAAAGCTGCCCATGATGTAAGCTCAACCTGTAATGATTTCTAACTGGGGATATGAGAACCCAGATCCTAGGGCACTTATGATCTGCAGTAACTATTATTCTGGTAATTTCAAACACTGAACAAACTTCAGTGAGCTTAAACAGATTAATGTGGCTGGCGTCCCACATAACGCGCTACAGAAGACCTATTAGGAAATGCTTTTACAGCAGTTAAGTTGATGGCACACCTCACGGGAACAAAGAAGGAATTACAAAACTGGCCTCCACAAGGAGTCTGCACAATTTATTTAATGAAAACATAGAGATGTAAGCCATTTTTCAGTACACAGCGAACATAGATGTCACGGAACAGAGCACTGCAGTATCTAGTTTATGCAACAGATTGATCCTAAGTGTATCTTGCAACCTCGTTAAGTTTTATGCTCTCTGTATAACACAAGAGAAAAAGTTCCTTAAGAACAGGATTCACAAAACCCAACAAGCCAAAGAGGAAATCAGCTAAATTAGCCAGTATCAATATTGAGAAAAAGGCGTTAGCTATTATGTTTCGAATCTTCCTGAAAGCTTCTGGGATTCAACACTTACAGCTCAGTCTTTACTTACCTCCTCTCCACCCCGATCCTCCCCAAATCTGATGAGGCCTTTCTCTAATCACCCTTTGCTCTCTTTGCTCCTGGGGGAGCCAACTTGTCTTATGATCTAGATAATTTTCCTACTATGCTGTAGGGCATTCTGAGCTAAAAATGCTCTACCCTTTCTTGTTGAAGCTGCTCTGCATGGACAAATTAGGTAGGCACAGGAGAGACAAAACTGTAAGACATCATGAATAAGTAACCTACTAATGAGGGTGTTCATCTCTAAGGGGGAAGACTTAAAATCCAGCCTGTGTTTCAGGCAATATTTGACACAAGATACTTAGAAGAAAATAAATAAAAATAAAAAATCAAAAATCAAATCTCTCACCTCCAAGACAGAACTAATTGTAGGATAGACTTATCCTCATTTTCTCTCTCTGGCAAAATGAATATTTACCTATCCCTTAGAATGCAGAACAGCCCCATTAGGAGAGACTCTTCTTACATCAACTGTTCTACAGCTTGGTTCTTCATAGAGGAAGACATAGGTTCAATTGAAGGAAAGGGTGAAATCTAGGTGTCACACCTGGTTGGATGAATCACTGAAAAAGTATGTGGGGGAGCCTCACAACATATCTCTTCTGGACTCCCTGATGCATCATTTTATGCTTTACTGTATGCTTAGGATACTTTAATACTGGAAACATAAGAGTCCATGAAACTTAGGAGAGTGGACCTTTCAGGATCTATATTCTACATTGTGGCACTTAAATTGGCAGTTGTGTCCTACAGCTTCCTTAGCACGGTGCTTGTTTCTGCTAAGGCCAGTATAATATTCAGAAAATATTGAAAGGACTTGTTTGCATTCACAATATTATCAACTTTTTAAATTCTATGAAGATTTTCTGCCCCTAGCATGCTTAACATTTCTTCCTGGAAAACTGGATTTATGCTCCAGTATCTCCACACCTACAGAATCACAAAAGCGTATGTGTACACGTAGATAACCACATACACAAAGAGACATAGACATGCATACAAACACACGCACAGACTCACTGTTGTCTATTTTTTGGTAGTGTTTTGGTTAAATGTAATTCACAACTAAATGCTGCTTTTAGAACAACCTTCTAGGGATTCAGCTGTTCTGCCAAACCTTCTTCACAGCTGAAGAAGAAACAAAACACGGGCAGCCTTTTTTATTGAATTAATTTGATTTTTGTCTTTTGTCCTGCCAGCTATCAAAATTGTCAAATAAACCAGCTTTGATTAATAAATAATGGTTCCATTATATTTACTGTGCCACTGGTCAGAGTACCTGAAATTTTAATTCACTTGTTCAGCTAAATTTCATCCTCAGTTCACGGCCATAAAATTCTGTATTGACAAACTTTCAAACCAACTTTGACTCTGAGGTATCTAGTCAACATTTTTCTTCTGTGTGGATATTAGTTTATTGAATAAGTGGCATCTGTTTTCCTCCACATCACTAGTGGAGTAGGTATTTCCTTTTGACAGCTTTGCACGATTTATGGGTTTGCATGCTCTGAAGAAAAATAGTACTAAGCAAAAAATTCCAATTCATTACCTCTTAGTACTTAATTAAGTTCATACACATTGCACACTATAGGTGAACCCTGAAATGACTGTGACAGCCACTGAGCAGCAAGTTAGATTATCTTTGGAAGACTGAAAGACTTTTAATTATCTTGACCTCATTTTTCCATCTATGATATTCATAAATTTTCCTTCTATTTTGTTGCCTCCATCAGATGTACCAAACCATTCTAAAAACAAGATTATATCCTTAGCTATTTCCTTTTATCTGCACATTTAGGCACCAAATGTTTTTACAAATAGTGAAGTCAAGCAATGGTTTTTATCGGCTTACTTCACACAGCTGCAGATGAATTATGTTGTACAGGCTCCTCCTAATAATGGTTTGGTTTTGGAAATGATAACAGCTTGATAAAAGAAGAAAGCAGTGGATCTGGCTATCAGTAGATACAGAAATAAAGAGAGCCTGGGCTTTACCTGTCAGGGTTCTGCGTACACACATGCATCTGTAAGAGGATCCGCTGGGTGAAAGTCTTAAAGCATTGCCCACATTTCCAAAGATGCCAGTCACTGAACTCAGAATTTAGTTGGCTTGTTGAAGTTGGGCTTGCAAGAACTCGTTGGTTTTTGACACTGATCTGGTTAAATCCTGACTCGATGGACCCAGACTTATCCAGGAGAGAAAAATTTCTGCTACACGGAGTCTGTGGAAATACTATGGATCGCTGTGGAGTGGCAGGGGATATTTTGCTACTTTTATTAAATGGCTGTAGGGTGTCTTGTCTGGACATGGCCTCCATTACAGTCGAAGGGACATTCACTGGGAGAAAACAAGAAAAGTAAATAAGATCCTTTTTATGCCTTTTAAAAACTAATACAGTGTGGGAGATACCAAAAAAATACCAACATCCATTTTCTTGACACGAGAATTAAACAACTTAATTTTAACAACGCACAAAAAAATGGGCTTGAATGAGACAATGATCTGAATGGATGATGCTGATTCTGTGACACTGAATTGAAAACTCATGCAAAGAGGTGTCTGAGACTGAAAGGACTCAGAGAAGCCTGACTGTGATATACATTTATTGCACAATGGGATTGTCACCTGAAAGAAAATGCTGCTGCACTTGTGATACCCTAACTCTGCATGTTGCAGTCAGCATGTCCAATTGCTATATCACAGACAAGCATGAATTTTGAGGTCATGGGGAAAAAAATCCTTGCTCAGACACTCCTTGAGATTCAACAGGGCTTAAATATCTACTGCAGCAATAGTTCCCTTATCCTCTTAAAAGGCAGCCACTAAGGCTATTATACTATTACATCTCACAAATAGTCACACAGCCAATACAATACAAAGCCAGTGACTTCACCATGACTTGTATGATTAAGGCTAATAGCAGTTAGATCACCATGAGACAATGAAAAGTATAGGCAGAGATATCTTTGTGCTTCAATTTCCCACCTACAAAATAGTAACAAAAATTATTTCTAGTCTCATGAAGGTCTTATGATCATCAATTAACTATGGCTTATGAGGCATTCAGGTATTTCAGCAACAAATGCAATAAGCTGTTCTCACAAAGAAGTGATTTAGTGCTGAATTTGGATGTCGCACGATAAGGAAGGCAGGAGGTCAAACATATAGAAGGTTGAATAGCTGCCTCACTCCTTGAGTACCATCTAGATTATGCAGTGAATGAAGCAAGGGTCCTATGGAAAAATGGAGTCAACTAATGAAAGATTGTACCACAATGCAAAAAGAAGCATAATTTAGGCCACCTGGGCCCAGTAACTTCTCATGCTTTCTAATTTTGGCATGCTCGACCTCATGAGATAATATTTTAATGGAGATTTTTAAATTAAATATGTTGATGCATATGTCTGTGTCTACGTATGTTCACACATTTTGTTGCTGTCACAAAGTGTTTATATGTATATATTCACATGTAGGTACTTGGCACCTACTAAACAAGTGATTAGAAACTGCAACTGTGTTTAAGTAACCCATGATGATAGATTTCTACGAGTAAACATGAAAATTAAATTTCAGTTGTGAGCTGGAATCATCCAACATTATTTAATATACATTAAATATTTAATACAAACTAATGTTAGGGTAATACCTTAAATAATGACAGTTAGTTCACAGAATTATGTTCTAATATCTTCCATCAATCACAATAATTCCAATATTATAATATTACATGCTATTTAATTTACTTAAGTTGAGGTCCTTCCTAGTCTATTATTTTCTGGAGTATCTGAGGACCTGGCTTCTAAGTAGAGTTACACCCATGGGGCTGTCTATCACAAGTTTCCAGACATATAATACATCTTCTATGTCCCTCTTCAGTACAAGGGGCAAATTGTATACCTTCATTTTCCCAACATTCTCACACAAGCAGATCACTTTTTTTTTTTTTAAAATGTGTTCATAAAAGTCCACAGAAGATGGATCAATAAGATCAGGATATAAAAGACCTAAGGAATATAGGCAGAGTTTGTACTGGGTAAAAATACCCCTGTACAGAAGATAAGCAGAAGATCTACTCTGAGGGCTTAAGTGGCACTTAAGTCATATATGAGCCTGCAGCTGGCTCCATGCTCAGAGATGAATTTCATCTATACATGTCAGTCTCTCTGTGGATGAAACTCTGGTTTCTCTCACAGCAAAATAGCAAGTGACAATATTTAGAGATTTTAACCGTAAGGCTTTGCTTTTCAAATAAAGGTTTTGTAAGTTTCAGCTCATGAAAGAAAAAATAATATTTCTATATTGTACACTGCAGAGCATGAGTTTTATCAGCAAACATTACTGCCAATAATTAAATTTCTTTTAAACTTTTCTCAAGCCCAACAGATTTGAAAACTCAAGATGAAAAAGGATGTTTATTTTTGACAGTTTAATCCCTGCTATCTTGCTGTTTTATTGCTGCATGGTTCAGTATTTAAGTTGCTACGAGACACAAGTTCATCCTAGCATTGCTGTTTAAGTACCCAAGTATTTGACCAAAAAAATACATCTTGTATGCAATCGATTAAGCGTGGCCAGCCACGGGATTACTTTAGACCAAACTCAATCAGGCATCCATTATTGGTTTCCTCCACCATGTAGATACACATAGCTGTCAAAATATAGGAGACGTCTTTGATGCAAGCTCTAATCAAGTTTGACACACAAACAGTGAAACTGAGGGCCGTGCTTGGATCACCCATTCCCATTACAGACAAAGGTATCCAGCATTAGATTGCACTGGGTCTATGTTATAAGTTACATGCTTAATTTTACGATGATTCCTAGCAAACTAAAAACAAAATATTGAGAAGGGGTAGAAGAATGGATGGAAATGGGGATGGCCAGGATGGAATGGAGGTTCATTGTCATTTCAGGCTACTTACACTCCGTCTGTATTTAGAGAAGCTTCGTTTTTTTTTTTATTTTAGCCACAAGGATCTCATCTCTACAATCAGTCAGACAAAGGTTTTCTCGACATACTCAGTGGTAATAGAATGAAGAACTAACAGAGGCCTCATGGACCTGCAATGCATTACTGTTTTGGCAAGAGAGTCTCTTGTGATAGGTCTGATAACAATGGAGACGGCCAAGCAAATCAGTTAAGAATAGTCTAGGAATGAATCACTTACAAGGAAAAGTGATTCTACACACTACCACACTATGTGGGGCTGCCCTGGTGGGAAATCTTCTATTTAATTGCACGCGCCTGCACACTTCCAAACACCTCTGTTTATTTAGGTAACCATACCATGATTTTGCACAGCTTAAGTGTATCAGCTTCAGGGTTTTATTTTGTACACGTCAAGCTTACCTAAAATATATAACTGCTTTCATTTAAGATGACTTAAAACATAGCTGATTAGGTATGAAAAAGGAATTCTGGCTTACATAGGGAGAAATGCAAGGAAGAACTTACAATTTTCGTCTTGTGCAATGCACTGGAGAGGGATTCCAAAGAAAGATGTGTAGCTGTCATTGTACCACACCAACAGCTCGGTGCCCCTGGGGATATCTATACAAGCCCGGTAGAATATATTTGACCTGATCAAGAGAAAAAGAAAAAAATGCCTTCTTTAGGAATAGAGCATTCTCCTCTTATCATACACAGTATTACAGTAGAAATCCATTGTTTTGGAAGCATTTCTGCAGATAACTAAATGAATAACTTACTGATTACTTTAAAACCAAATCTATCACCGGGGAAGGACTTTGTTCTCATTTTGTTCTTCAGTGCCTACAGGCACTTTGTACCTAGCGTATTTTAAACACTAAGATTTTAGAAGCACCTAGATTTATGAAAAGACTGGTATTTTCTTGCAATGTCCCTTTTAAAGCAATTTTAGAAATGTTGCATTTTGCTAACACAGTACAAGCATCAGGGTGGTGCACATAGTTAAGTAAGTTCAGCCATTTAAACAGCTTTGCATTTGTCATCTAGGCTAAAGTTAAAATATTTTAGGGCCAAATAGACAACAATTCTTTCATTTGAATAAGTGCTTTTAGCAAGATGTTTGAAGTAGCACGATGTGGCCTTTCATTACAGCAATACACCACTAAAAAGAGAGATCTTGGATTCTCGAGTAAAATAGACAAGGAAATAAAAAAAATGGGGTTAATCTGAACATACAACCACAAAAGGCTTCCCCTGTGTGGAACATGACAGTAATATCAATGATCCCTCAGTAAGTATAAATTAGTGTTACCATAAATGTGATATCTTATCACATCGCTCTGTGGGAAAAGACTGTGGATATTCCTAGACCACTGAACTGGGAGTTGAGGGAAAAAAAAAAGGAAAAATTCTAGAGTCTCCACCACAAAAACAAGAGCCTTATCCTGATGTTGCACTGATGTAAATAGCTTCAGAGTGATACTTCTACAGTTAACAGATTTACATGGGGACAAAAACTGTGTAAGATTAGAATCAGGCACAAGATAAAATAAAAATGTTATCAGTTTGCACTGGCTTTTCCCTTAGGCTTCATATGGAACAGTAAAACACACTCCTGTGAGATGGATAGAAATTCAATATACACAAGAATAACACTCCACTCTCGCTGAAGGATTACATACCAAAATGATACAGTCAAAGTACCAAGAAATGACCATTTTTTATAACAGCTTATGTAAGGCAGAAAAACATCTATAGACCAAAAAAAAATGTTAGGCCTCAACCGGTTTTCTGAGTGAAGAATTGCTACAAACGTTAGCCTGAAGTTCAAGATAAAAGTGTTTAGGGTTGGTAGGCCTTAAATTTAGACTTTCTGTAAAGAATTGGCTGCAGCGATGCAATTTGTTCCTTGTATAACACTGCAGACATAAGGAGAATCCTTTACCACATTTTTCATGGCAGTGAGATATGCACTTGTCAACATATTTTGTCACCGCAAAGTGGCTCTTGGCAACAGGATCATAAAGATCAATAAAAAAGTGCAGATTCTCAATATTTTACTAGCAGCTGCAAAAATTTCATTTATCTTGTTATTTTCCTCGCTTACTGCCACCCTGTCTCAGGAGGGCACTGCTAGCTAAGCAGAATGGTTTTCCTACCCTTCTATGAATATCTGACAAAAACTCTCCTTTTTGCGTCTCCCCTTCTTCTCCTCCTCACCTCTTTTCCCTCTCTTTCTTCCCAGAGCTGCACATTTCGTTAATTCTTTCCACTGTTACATTAAAATGAAAATCGGAGCCACGCTATAAATTACCAGCATCCCCTAACTTGAGAAAAATTGAGTCTACTTTGTACTTCACCCTTGTAACATTTCATCTCTCAGTTTGGCTTCCCTTAACATAAACACAGCAGCCCGGCAAATGAATGTGCTAAAACCAAATGACACACTTTGCCGCTGAAAGAGCAGAACTGTTTTTGAGCAATGGGTGGTCTGTGAGGCTTGGAGTAGGCAGGAAAAAAAAAGTGTAAGCGTACACCGTCCCTTACAAGCGTGCAGAGCTTCCAAAACTCGCAGAAATCTCTGCATGCTGAAGTACATCAAAGGGATTTTTCCCTTTTTGGATAATATTTCCTTTGCTGACATGTATTTAGTATTGTGGTTGGATGACTCATAAAGATAGCTTCATGGCGTCCCAACGCAGTTGAAGCAGAACACATGCCAACAAACATTATTGTCAGCCTCAAAATAAAAACAAAACGTTCAGCTAAGGGTCAATCAATCAAGAGCACTTTGAAGAAAATTCCATTTAGATATTACAAATCATAACAGAATGAATTTAAACCAGCTGACTTTCTGTGAGGAGGACGTCCATGTACAATAAAAATTAGGCCGGTTTTTCAGTGTCCAACTTTTCTATTTTCTTACACTTGGATGCAGTCACTGGTGATGGATGCCAGTTTTTTAAATTGTGTTTTTGTAGTTCATTTTATAAAGATCTGAAGTAATCGAAAACAGATCAACAGAGGGAACTCTAAGTAAAAACTCCATCATGAAAGGAGAGTTGTAAAATCCACTTAATATTGACAGATGTGTAATGACTTTCTCATGCTCACTTTTCATTTAGGTTTGTCATCTATATATGTACGCATATATATTTTTTCTTATTTTTGTATACATATATGTGTGCGCGCACACCACCATACTGAGAAATAGTTCACAAGATACCTACAAAAATACTCTTTCATCACAGCAATCTTTATTCATTATTCAGTGTGTTTATTTAAAATCTGATGGGATTTTAACTACAAATATCAGATATTTAAGGGTATAATAAAAGCTTTGTAATGTATAAATAGGATTGTTATTTTTTTAAGTGCAGCATTATTTAGTCAACTGGCCAGAGAATAAAAAAGCTGAAAATGGAATTGAACAATTTTACCATTGTTAAATTGGAACCCTATGGGATAATCAAACTTTATATATATTTCATTTTAGCTTGCTTTTGTATGTTTTATTTTTAATTTTAAAGGTACTTTAAATATGTTTAAGATTCTTCCTAAAGAAAAGAAACTCCACTCTCTAAAGCAACGAGCCAAAATCGGGATTGCTCACTGCGACTGGCAAGCCCAGGGCATTCTTTGATGTGCTTCCTACCACGTTTAATAAGGCCAGGCAGTTGCTTCTGATTCTGAGGCAAAAGGTTTGTTTATAGCTGAGATCATGTATTTATGTAATGTGTTGTTTGGGTTTTCTGGATCTGTTTGCGAGTACAAAGTAAAACGCACCATAATTTCTTTACATTTTTCTTCACGTTTTGACCTTCTCTAGCAAATGACATGAGGCACAAGCACTAGCAATCTTGGCTAGCAGGTGCACTCAACATATAAGCTTTAGGTGTATACACATCTCATGACTGACTCTCAGAAAGCCTTTGGGTTCAAAACTCCTCTCCTGCCATTTTCCCCCTTCCTCTAGGACAAGCATCTTTATTAAGGGCAGAAGATTTATTGTGTTGGCTTGCTTCTGATCAGACCACTTGAAAATGTGCAGAGGGGTCTGTGCAGTGTGGTGGTCACACGAGTGACACAGGGCTGCACTTGTCCCCAGGAGCTACAGGTCTAGCATGCTTACTACAATGGCCTCAGCTCAGGACAACCAAAGTTAAACCCATCTTCGCTACACTCTGCAGCTTTTGTATTGCCCTGAATGAGCACATTCACAAAAGCCCTGCTACTGTCTTTGCACTCAAAGGCAATAGTACTGGTGACAGTTACAGTTGACTTTTCACTAAAAACATTTTCATTTTGTTGCATTGAGTAAATTAAAACATACTTTACCTGTACTGAACCACTGTTAAGTTCTGTTCCCCGCAGTGCCTTGCACATCGGATATACCTCATCCAGCTTGACTTACTGGGTTCTCCACCATCAATAAAGTGCTGCAGTGTCCCATCTTGGTCATATATCTGGGGGAGATGTCACAAGGTCAAGTAGTTAGAACAAATCATCAGCAATCATTTTCACTGCTTTGCTGGTGTCTCTCTATGCCTTTTCCAGGAATTTATTGCCATGAGATTTGTCATTGCGTACTGATGCTCTTAGAAATCTACATGGAACAGCAGAAAAGCATTTTGGGGGATGCAAGTTTTGCAAGTTATCATGTTTCTTTTATCAAGCCAATCTTTTTGTATTAAACATATTTGTGGTGTCTCAAAGATGTGACCATGTTTCCCAAAGAATATTTAACCTATTTTGACAGGCTGGCCTTAAACAATGAACTGCCAGATAAACAAGAAAATCTGGATATAAAGCCTGCACTGAAATGGCTGGAACATCTGAGCAAGGGGCAGTAGCAATCCCTAAACAAGTATCCCTTCCTTCACATCTCAGTTGCAACAAGAGCATGTACTTCAGCAACATCACATGATACATTAGGGAGTTGTAGGATTCATAATACCAAAACAAATGAGACTAGAAGGAAAAAGAGAGTTGAAGATGCCTTTAGAAGCTCCCTTGAGACATATAATTTTTTGAAGTAGTAAATGAGATATCAGTCCTGAGGGAATCATGGTTTTCCTAAACACGACATCTCTGCTAAGGACATGAGAACCAGTTAGGGTAATTTTTAAAAAAGACAGTATTATGTCTCTATTTGGCACTGGATGCTTCCTCTGAAGTCGAAGAATAAGATTGCCCTGGAGGCTCTGAAATGAAGAGATACATGTTTCATGCACACCTGCCCTTCTGACTGCTTAAAAAATGTTATCTAGGACGTGCTAATCCTAGTAAAAGCCCATGGTCTCACAAGATTTTTACCTGTTACACAATTACTTTGTTAAACTTCAGAAATGCATCTGAACAATTAGGTGTTTATCTAAAGCAAACCCGATCTTCAGATCTTTTGCCCCTCCACAGACACCATCTGCTTTAATAATCCTACCCAAAAAATGTTATCGCTTTTGAAATTGTATGAGCCTAAATTGATGTTTTCTTGAAAGTACTAATTCTGCTAATTAAAGAGGAAGCACATTTATTATGTTGAATTGAAGATTTTTAGAGCAAGCAAATTAACAATCTTGCATTTCTGTTTCAATATCAAGAGAATAATCTCAAAAATTGTGTTACTATATTCAATAATTCTGATTTATTAAAAGAGTGTTTCCTACAATGCACACAAAAACATACACAGGAATCAGAATCTAGTTGTTTATGCCACCACATGAGAGTCTCACATTCAGGAGCCAGCCTTGTTTTTGCTTTTGACCAAGAGGGATTGGGAGTAATCAGGAGCAATATATCCATTGCTAGAGCATGAGAGACGTGGAAATCAAGCATCTACAGAGATCCTGATCATTTGTTCCTGAGTGCCTGTGACAAGGACCAGGTGGAACCTGACCAGATGCTTCTGGGTTAAAGAAGCAAGATGCTACCCCAACATGCACTAAGTGGTGGAATAAAGTCAGATAAATCAGAAGGAGTCCTCAGAGGCAAACAGATACTCTAATACTGGGGATTTGGGTTTTTTTTAATATATGGTAGCTAGTTGATTATAAGCAAGGACCTATTCTTATGTACACATGTTAATGTATGTTGAATATATGAGCAAAGTATGCTAAACAATAAAAATCTGTAATGGAAATGGAAAAGTTTTACAGGAAATCAGCCCACAAAAAGGAAGAGAAGGAAAAACTAATGCCTAACAGTTCTTGGCTGGGACCATTTTGGCAATATCTCTCCAAGCAGTCTCAGCACGGTGTTTATCATCTGTTCATTTACATGGTGCTTACTCACATAATAATATATGGCTTAAGATGAGACAAAACCTTTTCCCATAAATAAAGAGCTGATAGCTTCCTAATCCCCAGATGATATGAAACAGGAAAGACGAAGACGACTGCTATAATTGGTACTGACAGCCATATCTGGACACACAAGGACCTACTCAGAACTTTGTGTATATGGACAGTCATGAGCTGACATGAGAAATTAAAACCTACCATGAAAATGCAGGACTAGAGCTTTCTTGGGTCTTGGCCTGGAGTAGGAAGGACTGCTCTTCAAGCAAGACTAAATATTTTCAAATGCTTTATTCTTGCAAGTACTGATGCATCAGTGACACTATGCTCTCCTTTCCTAGGGGCATATTACTGACGTTGCAAATAAAGCTGCAGAGTCAGAATCCATCCCACAGCATTCTTAGCCCTGTTCTTACAGGAATGAAAACCCAGATGTAAGGAAACAGAAACCCTAACCTCAGAATGGAAATAGCAACACCGCATTGTATCCGTTTATTTGTCAAATTGCATAATACAGGTCAAAATCTGAAAAAACTTAACTGATATGGTTATTATTATTCATATTATCATTGTGCACCAGTTCTTAGTCATTTTACAAGTGCCTAAATCTGGCAACCACTATATAATTGCCTGTAGAAACCATCATGAGGGAGCAAACCATGACTTGTCGTAACAGAAGAAAAGCAAACCTGTAGCGTAAGTTGTGAACCCAGACATTATAGCAAACTATATGGATATACATTTTCACCTGCATCTGTATTACACATGCATATGTACTTAAACACTCATAGTATCTGTTAAAAAATGACCGCAGAATCCTGTGATAAACTGATTTTACTGAAAATATTTTACTGCCTCATTAGATCACTGCATTCATCTACGCTGGCATAACTTTTAAACAAATTGCAAGAGCTTCATGGCAAAACAAAATACCATTTCTCTGACTGCCTATGGAGAACACATGGGGTTTTCTTCTGTATCTCACAACAGTCATTGATCTAAGTGGTGGAAACAAAATTAATTATTTCATTTTTCTACTTTGATTACACTTGGAAGGGTTACCTAAACTGCTTACTGGATCTTTTGCCTCTTCTGACCCAAAGTACTTGTTAACTGTTGTTTTTGCTGAGTTTTAAGGGTTTTTTTTTGCTTTTGCTTTATATGTTTCAGAGCTTTAAGATTTCTTTTTTATGGTTTGTTCTAATTTTGAGGAGTGCACCAGACTACTAGGAGATACTGGAGTCTGATAGAAGAGGACTGCACTCACCTTCTCATTTGACATGCCTTGTATTCCTCCTTAGTAGTTCCCATATAATTAATTAACTTCTTAATAGGCTCTTGACTATTTACTGGTGGTTTAGTGGTATTTTACTTTTCAAGGGACTCAGAATGTGAAGCATATTATTATTCAACAAATTTCATCCTTTGACTTCAGAATACAACAGAAACAGCTTCATTTTCCAAGAAAGTAAGTCCAAAGGGTAACCAGCACAATTTAAGTCTTCTCTTTTCCATTTTTTTATATTCCTTTCTTTATAAACACCAGTTTATTCAGTAATCAAGACATAAATACAGAAAGGTATGAGGCATATGATGAAATTTCTTACAGGGTGTCACTGATACTCCTCATGACCTACACGTGCATTCCAACTGTGAAATATGGGAAAAAGCAGGTGGGATGCCAGTGTACTGATACTGGTCAGGTTCATCTTGTAATGGCATGCAAATATAAATTAAATATGAAGGCCTGGATTTATTACTTGTTGGATTGGTTATTGATAATTATTTGGAGGCTGTAGATACTGAAACTTATAATGACAATGATGTTAGCAACACATAATGGTGATAATAATATCATTTCTAAAGCACCCAGTGTCTCATATAAGTGATGCTCTAAAATCTATGAATGACCATTACTAAGTAAAATAAACAGCAGTTGCTGGAACATCTGTCACTCTGGCAACATACCATGTCTAGGTAAGACCACGTAAGATTTAAGTAGTATAACAGATAAAGCAGAGTGTTAAAGAGCCTTCTGAGAACTCTCAATTACTTCGGTACTGACATAGTCAGTATTGCTCACATGGATAGATGGAGGTAAATGTAATTCCAGTGCTAAAGACTGTTGTGCCAGTTTCTGGTACAGATGCAACAGAATTTTAGAGTAAAGGAGTTCAAATGTAATAGCACAGCTGCAGAGAAAGCCAAGCTATGAAGCAAGTAAAAAGAATTTCACAGAAGAGACAGGGAGAGCAAAAATGGTTAGATTGTTGGAGATCTCTCCTCTCTATCTGTTGCTTTCCTTTGTTCTCTTTCCATGGCCTGCTAAAGGATTGTGTCTTTTGAAATTCTGCCTGCATTTTATTTTTCCAATTAGTCAAATAAAAAAGGTATTAGCATACTACTTAATTGACCTCTCATTTTACTTGTCGGCACAGGGAGAAAAGGCTAGTCCTGAAAGTGGAATTTTAGTTTGCATGTACATTTGTATCGTAAAAGTAGCCATCAGAATAATTTTTTATGTTGCAAGACATCAAAAGAGATATGAAGAAAACCACAAAACATGCAAGAATTAATTCTTACCATTAGTAGAGCATCTTGCTTTTTGCTGTTCACTGCTATTTTCATTGACATCACATGCATAAGGTCATAGGATTTTCAAATCCCTCAGCATTAGCTTTGTCCTCCCACAAGAAGTTCTACCCTTGACTTCAGTGGGAAGAGTCAAGATACCAAGGAGTACTTTTGATGAATACATACATTTCATAAATCATCAGTTGTGCAGTTAAAAATCGTGGATGTACTCTAAACTACTGGAAATACAGAGAAAAAGGTTGTAACAGTCTGATGAAACACACTGACATGTCAGATATGGTAGCATGCATACAAGTTATATTCTTTCTATAATAATGTATGCACCTGCGAGCCACAACAACACTGAAAGCTTCTTCCTTCACTGGCTTGGACATCAAAACTGAATAATCTCTACACTAGGCAAATCTCATTACTGTAGGACCTTGCTTTTGACTTAACAACACTACAACATCCTCTACAGGAAGTAGACAGAAGTTGAAAACAATGCCAAAAAGAGCAATGTTTGATAAGCTTGGGTGCTTAGCTGACAGTCTGTAAAAGGTGTGCAATTATGGAAGATTACATTCTGAGACTGT